GACCTTGGGGGACCTGCAGAAGCATTGGACTGAGTCTGGAGTATAAACATCCAGAGCCACAATGCACAGGCGTGTGCAGGAAATGGGCTACAGGTGCCGCATTCCTCAGGTAAAGCCACTTTTGAACCAGAAATGGCGGCAGAGGCGCCTGACCTGGGCTACAGAGAAGCAGCACAGGACTGTTGCTCAGTTTTACATGTCATTTCAAGGTGCAAGAGTCTGGAGGAAGACCAGGGAGAATGAAATGCCAGAATTCCAGTGTCAAGTCCCCACAGTCAGTGATGGTCTGGGGTGCCATGTCAGCTGCTGGGTTTGGTCCACTGTGTTTTATCAAGGGCAGGGTCAATGCAGATTTTTGGAGCACTTCATGCTTTCATCTGCTGAAAAGCTTTATGGAGATGATTTCATTTTTCAGCACAACCTGGCACCTGCTCACAGTGCCAAAACCACTGGTAAATGGTTCACTGACCATGGTATCACTGCTCAATTGGCCTGCCAACTCTCCTGACCTGAACCCATAGAGAATCTGTGGGATATTGTGAAGAGAAAGTTGAGAGACCCAAGACCCAACACTGTGGATGAGCTTAAGGCCGCTATTGAAGCATCCTGGGCTTTCATAAAACATCAGCAGTGCCACAGGCTGATTGCCTCCATGCTACGGCGCACTGAAGCAGTAATCTCTGCCAAAGAATTCCTCATCAAGTATTGAGTGCATAACTTTAAATAATTATTTGTAGGTTGACTTTTTTGTATTAAGAATACTTTTCTTTTATTGGTCGGAATAAATATGCTAATTTTGTGAAATAGAAATCTTGGGTTTTAATGAGCTAATTGGAAAAATCATCTGTATTAAGACAATAAAAGACCTGAAATATTTTAGTTGATGTGCAATTAATCTAAAATATATGAATGTTCTTTATTTTCCATAATGTAATATTAAAACTTGAACTTTATCACAACATACTAATATTTTGAAAAGGACCTGTATATATAAAGTATTTTCCCAAGTTGTTAAAATATCTAAAAATAATGTGGAATATTTTTCTTGTACATTAAAGGAATAAAATGTCATAAATATTGTGAAATTGTGCTGTGTGCTGGAGGTGTATATGTTTATCCCAGGACTCATGTGCTGCGACTTTACTGTTTGCAGGTTTGATGTCTTCCTTGCTTTCTAAATCTGCCTAGTTTTGAAAAAAGCCTAAAGATAATCCAATATATTGGTCATCATTTTGCACAATTAACTAGCATCTGTGATTCTGTTGGGAACTAATATTCCATGTTAAGATTAAAAAGGTGGGCGTGTTCATTTTAATAAACAAAAATGATGTGCCTTAATTTTTTGTTGTAATGGTACTGGAAAAGACATTTAGTATTAGATGTTTTTATGGGTTTTTGTTTGGAGTTTGACATTTTCATATTGTGACACCCTTGCTGGCTATTCTTTCTTCAGTCCATCTGTATATAAATTATTAGGCTCTTTTTTTGGGAATCACAAAAGGCCACAGATTGTTTTGAAAAAGGATTTCAGAATTAATCCATTTTGTGTTAATATTTTCTTTCCTTTAGTGAAGCCTAAAAGTGACTCTGTCTGTTATTGGACCTGGGGGGTCTTTATTGCAGTGTCTTTAAGAAACGAAAAAAAATACAAATATTTTCCAATCAGTCTGGTTATCGGATGGTTCTTGTCACCTCCTGATTGTGCTTTGATCTCTTTTGTTATCTTTTGCATTTCCTCTATAGAGGTCTTCAAAATTAAACCTTGCGTCTTAATAGATTTTGTCTTTTCCTCAACAAATTGTTCAAATTTCAAAGAAAGTTTAAAGAAGTTTTTTTTTCCATGACAGTTTTAAACAAGAACTATGATTTAATCACATTTTAATGCACTGCTGTGTGTTGGGTTTTCCTTTTTGAGAAGGACTTTTGGGATCCTTTCTGTGTAAAGGTGCTATATAAATACACTTTATTTTAAAGGTAATTAAGCCTCTATATAAAGATTAACTTGCATCTTTTATATTCATTTTATGATCTGATCTAGGTGCGTTCTGGCAAATTAGCGGAGGTTGCTGATGCACAGAATTCGCTTGGATTTCTGGACAATCCAAAACGCTTCAATGTGGCGGTCACTCGTTCCAAAGCTCTACTCATCGTTGTTGGAGACCCTCATATTCTCATTAGGGTAAGAAAGGGGGGGGGGGCTTTGTAGGCCTGTAATCTTGGAGTATTAGTATTTACTCTCGCTGCTGTGTACAGAACTATGTTGAACATGGAAGTTCTCTTTGTTGTTTCCTCACCAGAATCCATGCTTCAGGGCTCTTCTGCAGTACTGCTTGAACAACGGGGCATATAAAGGCTGTGACCCCCCTCAATAATAAAGATTATGGTGTCTACTACTTGTAATTATTGTGATTATCTTGATTTACAAGCTGTATTTTTTCTAAGATTTTGCAAGAAATTTGCTGTAAAAATAAGTAATCCTGTTTTAGCATTACAGTGAACTAAGGTGGACGCATATAGATAATAGATCAAACAGAACTAATTTAAACTTTCATTTAAGTACAATAGTCTTTGGATTGTCAGCCAATGCTGGGGTTGGGGGGTGTAAGTAGTCTACTGATGTCAGCTTGGCTGCGTCTGCCCATAAGGCTTGGAGACTGGATGTGACAATTGAGTGCTATTGACAGTCTGTCATCTGTCGACTGTCAGCCCTGCTGGAGCCCAGCAGGATGAAGAAAGAAGGGGGGGTAAGTCTGGGGGGAAAAAAAGAGACAAATGGGAGTTTAATGTATGAGTCTCCTGTGTACAAGGGGAGACATCTTTTATCTGAGTTTGCTGTGCTGACACCCAGTCCTCCTCCCTGCCTTCCTAAACACACCTTAGTCTTTGATGTTTTGCAAGGGCTTGTTTTGCTCAACCACATGGCCAGAAAACAGCAGCATAACATTGAAATGTGATAGTTGGAAGATGTATGATAGCTTGATTAAGATTTCTGTTGTGAATGTTAAAAAAATATATACAATGATCAAAATCTGCCTACAGGTTTGCTTTTTTGTTTTTTGTTAAACTCAAATGTTTCAGTAAAATGCCCTTTTTTTGAGTCAAACTTGCATGAATATAGCACCATCCCGAAAATCATGCAGAATGATGGAAAGCCATCAATATAGGACGTTAAATTCCTGTCATGGTTCTGTAGCAGGACAGCATTTCAAAGCAGTGGGGCAAGGCAACCTCTGAATGACTGAAAAACTTTTGGAGTGGCCTAGCAGTCAGAAGTCTGCACTTTGACCTAATGTAGATGCAGCAGGATGACCTTTAAATGTTATAATTTCCAGAATCCACTTAGTTCTGCTGAATCAAAACCGTAAAAGTGGATTATAATTAGTGGCGATGTTCACTCATTGCCTCTCATGACAAACTTTTGTCATTTCCACTAAAATGTTACAGAACTTGTTAGGAAGACTGACTTTTTACCATAGGGTCAGGTTTAACTCGTTATTGCTAGCTGTTCTGCAAAACTTTATGGCTGACCCTTTGTTCAAACCATGGTGAAAATTTGTTTTGCCCTCCAAATGGTTTCCTGACTTTGTTTCAGATCAAAAATCTTTTGGATGTTGGGTACTATTAAGACACAAATATAAAAGGTTTTTTTAATTTTTACTCATTAGGAAAAGCAGCAAGGGCTGTTTAGTTTTCTCTGCTGATCTGGCCTTCATAGAAAGGTGAAAAGAATGTAAATGTAAATTAGCGAGAAGCCATACGGGCAGGATAAAAAAATAAAGGGTTGAATATAAAATGTCTGACATGTAAATTGATATGCATTTTACTCCAAACACCTTCCCCACTATAAAACATGGTGATGGTATCTAAAAGGTTTCCCACGAAGCCACAGGGCAAACAGTTTGACTTCTACCAACATAGCGACTCAAAAACATGCAGTTAGACGAGTGGAATATTTTGCATCAATATAATCAATAACCTGAAGAAAAAAAAAAAAAAACATCACAGAAAATAACATGCAAAAATTTCAGGCTGAATTTGCAAAGCTGTTGGAGATGTACCCCAAAAGACCTGCAGGCACCAAACCAGTGTTATGAACTGTTTACATGCATTTATTAAAGGACAAACTGTTGCATCATTGAATAAAAAAAAAAACACTTTCTATTTTATCCCCTTAAATCAATGTAATTCTTTACAGATTATGTCTAAAAAGGACAAGTGTTAAAGGATCCATACACTCTAAAATCAAGTCCCATTTAGTCATGACATTATGACCCAGTACTCTGCCTGACAACAGAAGAGCCTCCTGGCTGTATCAGTGTGAAGAGACGGGAAGGAATGCTAAATGTGATTAAATGTATAACTTCAATAGAACCCGTTATCCCTCACATAAGGGCAGAATATATTAATTTACAAGAAAATAAACTTTAAATTGAATGAGTGATAAAAGGCATTTTATCAGGATATGCTACTTCTGGCAGCATTCTACTTTACCTTTGGCAGAGATCGAACAGTAAGTAACAACCAATATTCTTTAAAAAACATTCTAATGCAGGTAGTGAGCAAAGGCTGCCCTTCACCTTACAAAAGAAAAAGATAAAAGCTTACTCTATTGATTAAACCATTAAAGCATTATTACATAGACTGCAACCTGAATGAATGGATCCATGCATCTCCATCAGCATTATCTGTCTCCTCAGTCTCGGAGCAACAGAAATATACTCATCTGATCAGCAAAGCTTATATGTTTTGGCTCAATTTCTAAACTCTTAAAGTTACCACTTGTGGGATCTTCTGGAAAAATCAAACTCAGACCTTGTACCACTCGGCTGACTCCTGCCTATTGACAGAGTTTGGAGCTAGCAGCCCATTCCCAACACAGACACACTGTCTACTCAACAGCCATTAGGCCCAACAACAGACCCCTGCGGAGCTCCTGGCAGGGGGAGCTTGTTAAATGTGTGGACCTATTGTTCGGCCAAATTGGCCTGTGACTCTAATTGCCCAGTTAGTCCCCTCTAATGGGCTGAACTCGTCTACCCAATCTGGAACCAGCCTCCAGTCTTTAGATCATGCCATAAAATGGGGCTCAGCTGTGGCCGGTTACATATTCATTGTCCCTTTTCCAGACAGGCCTCTTGTAAAGTCACATATATGGGAGCAGACTTGAGCTCTGACAGGCTGGGTTCAATGGAAACCTTTGATTCATAAGAGAGAGAAAAAGCCTGGAGGAGTAACCCCAGATTTAGATACACATCTCAATCTGGAGACAGACGATCTCTAAACAAATACATTGAAATGCAACAGTATGATTAAGTTGTTTTAATTCAAGAGTTAAAGCGAATAAAAGGATTGGAGGTATCTCTTGGCATATTAACATTAATACGCTTGTTTAACAGCAACCAAATGTGACTAGAGTAAAATATTTAAAATATATGCTGTGTATGTATCAATAGCGATACTAGATTCAAAATTAATGAGGGCCTTTGTAGTTTGGTTTCTTGGACTCCATCATTGGTTCTTTATGCTTGTTAGTCTCTCCTGAATCGTACGTCTTTTGACAATTTTTGCATATTTTCCTTCCACATTCTGTCTCTTGACAACAGCTCATTTTACAGTCACCTAAGTAAATCGTGTCCAACAATATTTTTTCTTTTTATTATCAGTAGAGCTTTTCTGTAATAGCCTCTGAGTTTTATTATAAAACATTAAGAACACCATTTTTTCCAAGGTATACCGTAAAGGTAAATTATGGTTATGGGTAGTTTTAAAGCCTTTCTGAAAATAAAACAAGACTGACGACACATAAAGCACTGTCCAGTTAATCATCATTAAAAGACTGCACATAGCTGCTATCTGACTATCGGTTGGAGTCGGCATAACTTCTATGGCAGGGGTCACCAACCTTTTTAAGGCTGAGGGCTACTTCATGGCTACCGAGTCATAGGAAGGGCTACCAATACTGACCTATGAACTGGAGGGATCAGTGTTCACCTACAGTAAATCTCATCCATAAAAACTAATTTTTATTCTATTTTATTCTTTTATTCATTTCTAATTTTCTTTTTAATGTCATTTTGAAACCACTGAAATATGATGAAATAGTTAACATGATGAAATAATGCATAAATGATTAAAAAGAAGAGCAACAGAATAAAAAAAAAATTAAACTTATCCCACTGAGTGAGTTCTGTTTTCAGAACATGAAGAGGGCACCCCATGTGGTCCTTGAGGCTCTCTTGGTGCCTGCGGGCACCGCGTTGGTGACCCCTGTTCTATGGCAATTGGAGTTTAGGTGGGATAATCTGATGACAGGTCAGCAGGTTACAGCACTTAATACTTTTTGGCATTTATGCAATAGTAAAAAATCAAGTTTACAGTAAAAAAAAGAAAAAGGAGCTCTGGGAAAATGCAACCAGAATTTAACTCCTTGACCTAAACACAAAACACTGTGTGGCAAAAAATCGGAGAAAACGCATGAACCTGATCACGCCGCCACTGTGGTAAAACATGATAGTGGCAGCATCATGTTCTTGTAACGCTTCATCCTTTTTAGCAGGGGAGACCTGATGTGAAGATATCCTGGCAAGGCATACAGTTTTACATTCATAGCTGTGACAAACGGTATAAAATGAGAATTAATTTCGATTAAATATAAAACTTAAGCATGATACTTGAGTTGATCAAGCTGAATGTAAAATGTGGTAAAATGCTTAAAATTTCCACCCGTTTGCAATATTCAAACCTGGGACGTAGTCAAAATGAGTTCAAAACTGCGATCTTTTTTATTTATTTGAACATAACTTTGATTTTTATTGTAATCCTCTTCAAACTAGGTAAAGTGAATCTGTGGCTGGTTTTCACTCAGTAAAACTGGGATGTGATTGCTCACACTTCAACCCCCTCCCTCCTCACCCACGCACACACCCGTCTCACACACCCTCCATCTGCTCTCTGCCTCCTTTCTGTCTGCAGTGATCACAAAACAAGCCGTTGTCTCCAAACACATCGTCTCTATGTCTTTTGATTGGTAGTTGATAACAGACTTGCTGGCTCACCTTGCTGTATATAAAGAGAGAAACTCATGAGAGAGGCAGTAAAGACTCAGAGCCTCTGTGAAGAGCTCAGCCATTCCTCCTCGGTACTCCTGGGACTTTGTCAACTTCTAATTATGACTGCTTTCTTGGCTCTGGCTCTTGTAGCTGTGGCATCTCCTTTACTGGCATTCGATATGGGCCAATCCACTCGCTGTGTTACCATTCCCAACCAGATGAAGGTCTGCAAAGATGTAGGATATTCAGAGATGAGGCTGCCAAACTTTTTAGGCCACAGCAACCTTGAAGGTGAGGTGGTGCCCCGCTCTGAAGACTGGAGGCCACTGTTGCAAACTGGCTGCCACCATCAAGCCCAGGCCTTCCTCTGCTCTATCATTGCACCTGTCTGTCTTGACACGTAAGTTTTTTTTTTTTTTTTTTAAGTTTTATGTTTTAATTTGTGTCCCTTTGAAATGACAGTCAATAAAAATAATGTTTTTCCTCCTCAGTTTCATCCAGCCTTGCCGTAGTCTGTGTGTGGCAGTGAGGGACAGCTGTGCCCCGGTGCTCGCCTGCCAGGGACACCCCTGGCCTGAGGCTCTGGACTGTGACCGCTTTCCTGCTGAGGAAGACATGTGCCTTACCCCCCTTGCAAAATTTAGCCACTTTATTAAAGGTAACAAGCACAGAATAATAGCTGTAATTTTTTTCCCCTTATATTTATAGCTCCTGATTGTGTCTACAATTAGTAAAAATGTTGTTTTTTTTGTTTTTTTTAAATCACAGACTTACCAAAACCTGCTTGCCAAAATTGTCCCTCTGTGGAAGTGGCTCCTCCAATGAAGACAGTTCTAAATGCTTTTTGTCACCATGACTTTGGTAAGATATCGTATTCTTAGAGAATTCACATTGGCTAAGATATATATATATATATATATTTTTTTTTTCAAATCCTCATTTTGTTCACATGTTAATTTCCTCTTCTCCACAGCCATTACTGCTAAGCTCCATCGTCTTCGCCACGCCACAGGAGAGCCAGAGTTCCAGGTCGAGGGCCGTGTGGAGTTCATTCGTCAGGGTCCTCTGTTGCCTTATGACACTAGGCACCTCCTGCAGGAGTGGCTTCTCATCAACCGCGGATGTGCCAGCGCCCTGGTGCGTCCAGGACGCCTGCAGCTCTACGTGCTGACCGGCTCCGTGCAGCCAGACGGCAACATTGCCCTCATCCATCTCTTCCCCTGGCACAAGAAAGATGCAAGCATCGCCCTGGCCACTCGCAAATGGAAGCATCATAGATGCTGACGTACAAGGAGGAGTACTATATAGAAATACCTCAGGACAGAAAAAGAACATCTGAAGACTTGTATTATGCAGTAATGCTGGATCCAGGCCAAACCACATCACTCTGTTCACTGTTAACTCACTCTCAGGTTTCAGCTTTATGGTCCGTATGCTGTAATATTATGCACTCATACCTGTAAATAGTTTTAAATAAGTGTAAATTCATATATTTTATTTGCTTTAAGGATATCAATGTATTTATCATGTGTTTTTGTGTGCTGTGTGGACATGACAAATAAAATATTTTATATCATGTTTATTATTTAGTGCCATTATTTAGTGCGTATTATACTGACATTTCCTGAGGTCTTTGAAAAGAAGTTTACAAGAACTCAGAATTTTTTTTTAACTTTGGGCTCCATATATATTTTGCCAAACAGCTGAACTTATATATTTCTGAAAAAAAAAAAAAAAGACAGGTAAACTTGGTTTTGCAGCTAATGCAGAAACATGGTTGCTAGAACAAACCTAACAAGAACCCTTCAATGAAAATGCTCAGTTCTGTCAGTATAGAAGGACGGTTTTAACAACAGACAATGTAATGATTTATTCATGAGACTAAGTTTTTTTTTAGCAATGTGTGTAAAGGTAAGGTGATTAACTGAGGTAAACCACAAGGAGAAGTGACTGGTTCAGTAATTGTTTTCTACTTCATATAATCTATAGTATTAAAATTTGTATTTTCAGATAATACAAAGTTGATTTGGTCTGGTGCAAAAGAAAAAAGAATAGTAGATAAAATAAAATCTTGTTTCCAAATCAGTAAAACAGAGGTTATGTTTTATTTGTTTATATAAAAAAAAAGGTAATACTGAACTATAATGTAATGCTTACATTGAAATAGCTGAAGAGATTCCTTGGGGTTTTAGTGACTTATGAACAATTATGGAAACAGTAAATGGACTATATTAAAGGAAAAAAAATGTAAAGTTGAAGCACTGCTGTTTAAATGTAATGACTTTTTTTTATGTATTCTATAGACTTTCATTTTTTAGACTTTCAAGGTATTTCTCAAATTCTGAAAGAGTGGAATTATCAGCCTTTTACACAACTTTAAATTCACTGATTGTAGAAAAACCATTTGAATCATGAAAGTAATATCTATGCTTAGAAAAAACTGTAACTTTTGGAATGGAATTTATTTTTAGTCCAGGGAGAAAATGTAAGCTTAAAGAAACCCTAAAACATTTTTCCCCCCCTTCATTACACTTGATCACCGCTAGGTGGCTCAATTAAAACAACACTGGTGAGGATTTGGTGTAATTGAAATGCAAAATGCATTTAAAGTTTTTGTTTTTCAGAGCAGTGACTCTGCAGAAAACAGCCATTTGTTGTAGATGCTCATGGCTGTATTCACAGAGGACTGTCTGTACAATGTAGCACTAATGAGAAGATAAATTACCCACTTTACATCTCAATAGCTCTTCTTTCTTCACAAGACTAAACAGATCTATTTGGAGTTGTTGAACAAGGATACTGCTCAATGCTGTCCTAAAAGAATCCCTATTCAGTTTTACTTAGCACCTTCCCAGGGGCCGTTCAACAATCAAAATGAATAAATCTTTTGATAAAAATTTAATTGCCCCACTATCCACCAGTTAGCTTGAATGTGAACTGATGCTTTTCATCTTCAAATAATATTGAACTCTGTTATCATTATTCAGTATTTTTCTTTTAGAGATTCCCACTCCTAAAATTCAGTAATAAAATGTTTTACTCAATATTTTTTTTATGGAAGAGATCCTTTTCCTATATATCCAATCAGGCCACAGGACCCCCAGAGTAAGCCACAGGTTTCATTTTGGGCAGGGAAGTCCCAAATTTACCTCCTGGATCTTTTTTCCACATAACCCAACCTTAGACAAGCAAGAGGCAATAAATTCAGACTTTGTAAAGATATTTTCTTTAGATTTTGTACCAATTTTTTTGTACAAAGGATCTGGCCTTTGTAAAAGGCCAGTTACTGTAAAAAAAAAAAAAAAACACAGTGGAAGCATCACAATGTCCCAATTCTTCAGGAACATGGATCCTATTCCTAGCTGATAGGAACATACAGAGCTTAATAGCATCAACAAACCTGTTCAAATTCCAGCAGGAAAAAACCCTAAACATACAGCCAGGGCTACAGTAGAATAATTTAAAGCAAAGACTAGCAAAGTTTTGTAATGGCCCAGTCAACAGGGGTGGAAAGTAACGAATTACATTTACTGACGTTACTGTAATTGAGTACTTTTTATGAGTAATTTGTAATTCTCTGAGTAGTTTTTGAAATATGTAATTTTTACTTTTACTGGAGTAAATTTTAACCTAAGTAGTTTTACTTCGCTACATTTAAACCCCCCTCACCTTACTGAGTAAAAAAAAATAAAATAAGAAATACTGATGGTGAAAAAATAAAATGCGGCCGGAAATTTAAACCCCTGTGTTACGCAACCGACACTTAATCGCCACTAAAAAATAGAAGACTTTTGATTTTTTAACAGCACTTTATTTACACAATTCAAACATATAAACAATTGATGTAAAAACAAGTGTCAGTTAAAAATCACTATTAAAGTAAAACAAGTGTCAGTTAAAATCATTAAACGAGGAGCTTGTTAATA